GGGGTTCGCTGCGGGGGATGGAGGGGAGCCGCTGCCTCCAGCTCCCCTCTGGGCCCCTCAGTGCCCTCCTCCTCCTCCGCCCTGGGCAGGTGCGAGTTTGGGCGAAATAACGGCCCGTTTTGCACAGACAACGGTGATAAAGTCTCCTCTGTCCGGCTGCTCCCGGGGCTCCCTGCACCCCAAGGGCCCGATTTTCGGGCTGCTGGGAGCTCCTGTTGAAGCTGGCACCTGTGAAAGTCTGACCTTCCGTTTGTAATTTGGGGAGTTTTCTGTCGTGCGTGCATTCCTAGAGGTAACAGGTTCCCACAGGCTGTTGATGAGCCGGGCAGCGCTGCCCATCGCTCGGGTTGTTCAGTTTATCCCACTGCAAGTTCCTGTTTTCAAGTTTCCAGTTGCTTATAACTTGGTCGACTTTAGTTGTTTGAGCTGAAAATGTGCTGTCCTGGATGTCTGCCTCAGCTCGGCTTTCATTTCTATATTTATTTCTACGACTCCAGCCAAGAGGGAGGCGAGGGTTGCCCCTTGTCTCTCAGATGTCCGTAGTTCTGTGACCTTTCCTTGGAGCAGCGCTGCCTGCCCAGCCTCCCTCTCTGCTCCAAGCAAGGAATTTTCATTTGGGAAGGGAGAACAGACTTTGTAAAGATCTGTTGCCCAAATGTGAGCTGATTTAAAATAAACTAGAAGCTTAGTTTCCTTCTGTTCTATCTACATCAGGTCAAGCACTAATTGAGGCTCTGGTAAACGCTGCTGGTGGTGCTGCAGCAGATAGAATAGGTCAAGGTCAGGAACCTGAAAAGGGTGAGAAATAAATGGGGATTAGAGGAGACAAGTGTGAAAGTGTGTGAGCAAGGGAGTAAGGCTGAGGCTAGACTAAGACTAGACTAAGTGCTGCTGAGGATGGAGACCAGTGGGGACAGGGTCCCCCCCTGCCAGGTAGCTGCTGCCAGGGCCGAGTGCCCCAGGCTTTACCCTTGCCTTTGGCAGATGAAATTCAGTTTGTCCCTCTAGCAGCAGCTGTGATCTGTGCCCGCTCTCCCTTTGAGAGCAGAGCCCTCAGCACATCTAACAGCTCGGGCCTCGCTCAGGCCTTGCCTTTCCCACAGCCCAGCTGTAGGTAGTAAAGAGCAAGTAACACCCTGCTCCTCCCTCCACAGCAGGGTGGCTGGTGGCGACGGAGTGGGCAGGAGCAGCAGCCAAGGAGATGCTCATTCAGAAGTGCTGAGTGCTTGGAGGAGCCACAGAGCTGGGAGAGAGCTGAGCTTTGGATGTGTAAAGTGCTCGTTGATGGCATTTGACAATTAAGTGGTGTGGGTTGGTCAGTAGAATGGCACTGCTCTGTCTTAGCCCAAGAAATGAGACCGCAAGGCCAAGCCCTGGAATCGCACAACAAATATTCTGGCAGCGTGTACCTGAGAAGAGCTGGTGAGACTCGGTGCGGTTTGTCCTCAGAGCAGGGTTTTACCAGCATGGTGAGGATGCCAGGCTCGAGCAATGCAGAGAAAGAGCATAGAGCGATGGGTACCATCCATCTCCTGCAGGAGGGGGACAAGGGAGACGCATTTATGTTGCCTGAGTGTCTTGTAATGACACAAGTTGGGGGATTTCAGTGCTCAGAGTCTGTTTGCGACTGCAATCGTGTTGTTTCTGTATCAAAACACTGCTTCCAGAGCACTCCAGCCCATTACGATTCTGTACCTGAAGATACAAATGCATCACTGGTAAAACGGTTTGAGCTCTGACACAACTAAACGCTGGGTGAATTTGGCCCGTGGGCGCTTGTTCAGCTTATTGGGTCTTGAAAATCGGCACCAGTTTGTGGTACTGGGAGCCGAGTGCTCTGGGCCGCGCTGGGACTGGGGGCAGCGGTGGAATCTGAATCCTCAGCTCCGGCTCTGTCAGGGAACGTCCTCCTGCCAGCTCTCCCCCGGGGATCAGCCCAGCCTCGCTGTCTTTCTTACCCTTACTGTGTTCATAACAGCGATATCAGCGGAGCTTTTAAAGGCGCGCTGAGGACCCAGGGCTGGGGGTAGGGGTGACGGGGGGTGTTGCGTGGGAGCCATGGGTGGTGTTAGTCTCTCTTTGAGCTATGTCGAAAGCACCCAGGCGCCAGAGCCCTCAGCACAGAAACCCTTTCTTATCTTCTGCTTTCCATTTTGCAAACAAGCTGCGTGCTAGACAGCTTTTATGATTAACTTGCTGCTACAAAGCAAATACTGCTCAGCGCTCGTGCTAATGTACTTGTAAAACAAGAGGCTCCGTTTCCGCATTTTGCATTAAGGTGTAGATTTTATATGTAATATTGTGACTGGCTTACTAAGAAAAGCTTTCAAAGCACAAATGTTTGTTCGTAACCATAGCTGCTAGCTCACCAGCGTGGCCAGCGTGCTCAGACCAAGCTCCATCCTGGCTGGAAGCCTGCAAAATGGCCGGGGAGGCATGCTGGGCTGGGCTGGAGTGAGGGTGCTTCCCAAGGCACCCCCAAAAGCGGTCCCCTGCCACCAGCAGACTCCCTAGAGATTTCTCCTGGTGTCTCTGTGTGGCCCGGGGAAGAGCAGGGGTTCAGAGCAGTGCTCCCAAGGCCAGCCCTCGCCCTTAGCTGCACTGTAGGGACTGTGTCTCCTCAGCCGCAAGAGGAGGAGAAAGTGGGGAAGCTTGCTGGGCGTGCGGAGCTCTGCGCTGCGGAGCAGGAACACGGCGTGCTGGTGGGAGGGGTGGGGTTCAGTTTGCAGGGAGTCCACCAGCCCTGAGCAGAAGGAGCGGGGCTGGTGCAGGGGCAGCATCCCCCATGGCAGAGCTGGGGCAGGATGGGGCGAGGCTGGAGGGCAGCACCTGCGGGGGTCTGGCAGCTGCCTGATGCCACGCTCCCTAAAGCCAAGAGATGCTTTTGGCTGGGACCTCTTGATCCCAATGCCTGGAAAAGGGGAAAAAATGGCGCTGGTGAGGGATCAGCATCCCCTGTGGCTTGCCAGGAGCCCCCAGCCGCTGCCCCCTCCCTCCACAGCCAGCCCAAGGGACTCTGGAGGTGTCCCGATGGCTCGCCCGCTCTGCCTCGGGAGCGGTGCATGGAACTTCCATGGCTGAGGAAGTTCCAGCTCCTCTGATCTGTCATTGCCCTGCCCTTGTCCAGCCCTGATCCTGACCCAGCCAGGTCTCAGTGGTCCGGAAAGCTTCAACAAGGACCTTTATGCAAGTTGCCAAAGCTGTCGCCTGCAGCGCATTCCCTCCTGGTGCTGCTCTCCGCCTCCTCACCTCGACTGCTCCGACTTCCAGCTCAAGCCGAGTGTGTCACCCTCCACTGACTGAGTGTTTGCTGTCTATAAACGCAGCCTAAAGTAGCTGGTTTAGACGGAGACATGCGTGCTGAGTCGGGCGTGTGCCAAACTACGTGACCACGTGTGGCCACGGCTCCGCTCTTGGATGCTTGGGGCATGTTTAGCTGCATTCTGGGGACCGGCTGTAAGCGGGAAGGTTTCCTGCCAATGGACACAGGCGGAGGGATTAGCGTGGGATAATGTGCTCTCTGCTCAAGCTTTTGGCTGCTCCTCAGCAAGAACCACAGTTTGGTTGGGGAGTTCCCAGCTGGTGCAATGCATGGGGTGGGGGGGTCAGAGTCCCCGCTTGTCCCCAGCACCGTTTCCAGTGCTCCCACTGTGGGTGAACGCGTTTCTTTGGATTGATTGTCTTCTGGGCTGGGACTTGGTGGGGAAGTCCATGTGAGGTGAGGCTGGAAGGAGAGGATGCTGGAGGGACCCAGTGGCAGGCTGCGTGTTCCTCTGGGGACTGCAGAGGGCAGTGGCACCCATGAGAAGTGCGGGTGGCCCTGGGTGCTGGCTGGAGGAGCTGCCCCAGAGCAGGTCCTTGCAGGCTGGGTGGGAGCCCTGGGGTGATCCTGGGTGGCACTGCGGGTCACGGCGTGCGTCGCTGGGCTCCAGCCTTCCTCTTGGATTGCCTTGCTCTGCAGAGTGGCTCTGCAAGTTGCTGGTGGTCTGATGCTGGCTGGCAGGGGCTGCCCTGGTGTCCGAGCCTCCGGGCTGCCCTCCCGCTCTGCCAAGGCAGTGGGGAGTGTCCACTCAAGACAAGAGACAAGTGACCACCTCCGTGATGCTTCCCTTACGCTGCCCTGATGGCAAACGCAATGAGGAACAGCCATGGTCAAGACCAGCACTGCTCGAAGGGCAAGTGTGAGCCAAGTGCCATGCACTCTTCCCCTCCAACTTCTCTTCTCATCCCCCAGTGTGATTACTGGAGCCAGCTCTGACGGGAAGGAGTCTCCGAGTTCCTGAAGCAAGGCAGGGGTTAAAACAGTTGCAGAGCACACATGGAGCCTGGGTTTTGGCAGTCTGTCAGGCTCCCTTTGCAGGTGCTGATTGCTCATGCAGAAATAACAAGGGGAGCAGCAGCTACCTTCTGCCTGGGCAGGTTGGGAGGGTGAGGACATGGAGCACGAGCGTGTGGAGCTTTCTGGGGTGAGGTTCAGAGGCAGAGAGACTGGAAGATGCTCAAAGTGAAACCAGGGAGGTCCCCTGGTCATGCAGTCCACGTGGTCTCAGACCTTGGAGACACCCACCATCACCTAACACTTTGCGGTAGCCTCCACA